TTGCCCTGCATGCATGAGCTCTTCTGGCCACTCTAGCCAGTGTGTCAACCATCGCTCTATTGCTCTCGTCGTACTCTTGCCTTGTGTGTGTGTGTGTGTGTGTGTGTGTGTGTGTGTGTGTGTGTGTGTGTGTGTGTGTGTGTGTGTGTGTGTGTGTGTGTGTGTTTGTGTGTGTGTGTGTGTGTGCGTGTGTATGTGTATGAGTGTGGTGTGTGTGTGTGTGTGTGTGTGTGGTGTGTGTGTGTGTGTGTGTGTGTGTGTGTGTGTGTGTGTGTGTGTGTGTGTGTGTGTGTGTGTGTGTGTGACTCAACAATCAACATTTGCACCAATAACTCACTACAGTTGTGACCGGGTGTGGAAGTGTGAATTGCTCATTACTCTATAATTTGTTCATGATTGTAGCCATGTATAAACGTAAGTAACCATTCTTACAGTATTCATTACCTTTGTAACTTGTGAGTTCATTACCTTTGTAACTTGTGAGTTCATTACCTTTGTAACTTGTGAGTTCATTACCTTGTACCTAGTTCAGCCATCAAAAATTTGGAGCCCGGTCCCTGGACCCATTGTGTACCTCTGTAATCTGTAAATACCTTTGTAACTTGTCATAATTGTGACTAGACCTACCTGGAGTTCATTACCTTTGTAAATTGTGAATTCATTACCTCTGTAACTTGCTCAGCTATCAGAACTTTGGAGTCCAGTCCCTGGACCAATTATGTACCTCTGTAATCTTTTGACTACCGCCCACAGGATGGGTATGGGGTACATAATAAACATATTAAACTAACTAAACTGTGTTAAGACAGTTCCTACGTCACCTCCCTCTGTCCTGTGTTAAGACAGTTCCTACGTCACTTGCCTCTGTCCTGTGTTAAGACAGTTCCTAGGTCACTGCCTCTGTCCTGTGTTAAGACAGTTCCTACGTCACTGCCTCTGTCCTGTGTTAAGACAGTTCCTACGTCACTTGCCTCTGTCCTGTGTTAAGACAGTTCCTACGTCACTTGCCTCTGTTCTGTGTTAAGATAGTTCCTACGTCACTGCCTCTGTCCTGTGTTAAGACAGCTCCTACGTCACTTGCCTCTGTCCTGTGTTAAGACAGTTCCTACGTCACTGCCTCTGTCCTGTGTTAAGACAGTTCCTACGTCACTTGCCTCTGTCCTGTGTTAAGACAGTTCCTACGTCACTTGCCTCTGTCCTGTGTTAAGACAGTTCCTACGTCACTGGCCTCTGTCCTGTGTTAAGACAGTTCCTACGTCACTTGCCTCTGTCCTGTGTTAAGACAGTTCCTACGTCACTGCCTCTGTCCTGTGTTAAGACAGTTCCTACGTCACTTGCCTCTGTCCTGTGTTAAGACAGTTCCTACGTCACTGCCTCTGTCCTGTGTTAAGACAGTTCCTACGTCACTTGCCTCTGTCCTGTGTTAAGACAGCTCCTACGTCACTACCTCTGTCCTGTGTTAAGACAGTTCCTACGTCACTGGCCTCTGTCCTGTGTTAAGACAGTTCCTACGTCACTTGCCTCTGTCCTGTGTTAAGACAGTTCCTACGTCACTTGCCTCTGTCTTGTGTTAAGACAGTTCCTACGTCACTGCCTCTGTCCTGTGTTAAGACAGTTCCTACGTCACTTGCCTCTGTCCTGTGTTAAGACAGTTCCTACGTCACTTGCCTTTGTCCTGTGTTAAGACAGTTCCTACGTCACTTGCCTCTGTCCTGTGTTAAGACAGTTCCTACGTCACTTGCCTCTGTCCTGTGTTAAGACAGTTCCTACGTCACTGCCTCTGTCCTGTGTTAAGACAGTTCCTACGTCACTTGCCTCTGTCCTGTGTTAAGACAGTTCCTACGTCACTTGCCTTTGTCCTGTGTTAAGACAGTTCCTACGTCACTTGCCTCTGTCCTGTGTTAAGACAGTTCCTACGTCACTTGCCTCTGTCCTGTGTTAAGACAGTTCCTACGTCACTTGCCTCTGTCCTGTGTTAAGATAGTTCCTACGTGTGGGGTATGACAGCTAGGTTACTCACCTAGCTGTCATACCCCACACCTGGTTACTCACTTAGCTGTCATACCCCACACCAGGCTGCTCACCTAGCTGTCGTACCCCCACACCAGGTTACTCACCTAGCTGTCTTGCCCCACACTAGGTTACTCACCTAGCTGTCATACACCACACCGGGTTACTCACCTAGCTGTCATGCCCCACACCAGGTTACTCATCTAGCTGTCATGCCCCACACTAGGTTACTCACCTAGCTGTCATACCCCACACTAGGTTACTCACCCAGTTGCCATACCCCACACTAGGTTACTCACCTAGCTGTCATGCCCCACACCAGGTTACTCACCTAGCTGTCATACCCCACACCAGGTTACTCACCTAGCTGTCTTGCCCCACACTAGGTTACTCACCTAGCTGTCATACACCACACCGGGTTACTCACCTAGCTGTCATGCCCCACACCAGGTTACTCATCTAGCTGTCATGCCCCACACTAGGTTACTCACCTAGCTGTCATACCCCACACTAGGTTACTTACCTAGCTGTCATACCCCACACTAGGTTACTCACCCAGCTGCCATACCCCACACTAGGTTACTCACCTAGCTGTCATGCCCCACACCAGGTTACTCACCTAGCTGTCATACTCCACACCAGGTTACTCACCTAGCTGTCATACCCAACACTAGGTTACTCACCTAGCTGTCATACCCCACACTAGGTTACTCACCTAGCTGTCATGCCCCACACTAGGTTACTCACCTAGCTGTCATGCCCCACACCAGGTTACTCACCTAGCTGTCATACACCACACCAGGCTACTCATCTAGCTGTCATGGCCCACACTAGGTTACTCACCTAGCTGTCATACCCCACACTAGGTTACTTACCTAGCTGTCATACCCCACACTAGGTTACTCACCTAGCTGTCATACACCACACCAGGTTACTCACCTAGCTGTCATACACCACACCAGGTTACTCACCTAGCTGTCATACACCACACCAGGTTACTCACCTAGCTGTCATACACCACACCAGGTTACCTACCTAGCTGTCATACACCACACCAGGTTACTCACCTAGCTGTCATACACCACACCAGGTTACTCACCTAGCTGTCATACACCACACCAGGTTACTCATCTAGCTGTCATGCCCCACACTAGGTTACTCACCTAGCTGTCATACCCCACACTAGGTTACTTACCTAGCTGTCATACCCCACACTAGGTTACTCACCTAGCTTTCATACACCACACCAGGTTACTCACCTAGCTGTCATACACCACACCAGGTTACTCACCTAGCTGTCATACACCACACCAGGTTACTCACCTAGCTGTCATGCCCCACACTAGGTTACTCACCTAGCTGTCATACACCACACCAGGTTATTCACCCAGCTGTCATACACCACACCAGGTTACTCACTTAGCTGTCATACACCACACCAGGTTACTCACCTAGCTGTCATACACCACACTAGGTTACTCACCTAGCTGTCATGCCCCACACTAGGTTACTCACCTAGCTTTCATACACCACACCAGGTTACTCACCTAGCTGTCATACACCACACCAGGTTACTCACCTAGCTGTCATACACCACACCAGGTTACTCACCTAGCTGTCCATGCCCCACACTAGGTTACTCACCTAGCTGTCATACACCACACCAGGTTACTCACCTAGCTGTCATACACCACACCAGGTTACTCACCTAGCTGTCATACACCACACTAGGTTACTCACCTAGCTGTCATGCCCCACACTAGGTTACTCACCTAGCTGTCATACACCACACCAGGTTACTCACCTAGCTGTCATACACCGCACCAGGTTACTCACCTAGCTGTCATACACCACACCAGGTTACTCACCTAGCTGTCATACACCGCACCAGGTTACTCACCTAGCTGTCATACACCGCACCAGGTTACTCACCTAGCTGTCATACGCCACACCAGGTTACTCACCTAGCTGTCACACACCGCACCAGGTTACTCACCTAGCTGTCATACACCGCACCAGGTTACTCACCTAGCTGTCATACACCGCACCAGGTTACTCACCTAGCTGTCATACCCCACACTAGGTTACTCACCTAGCTGTCATACCCCACACTAGGTTACTCACCTAGCTGTCATGCCCCACACTAGGTTACTCACCTAGCTGTCATACACCACACCAGGTTACTCACCTAGCTGTCACACACCACACCAGGTTACTCACCTAGCTGTCACACACCACACCAGGTTACTCACCTAGCTGTCATACACCACACCAGGTTACTCACCTAGCTGTCATACACCACACCAGGTTACTCACCTAGCTGTCATACACCACACCAGGTTACTCACCTAGCTGTCATACACCACACCAGGTTACTCACCTAGCTGTCACACACCACACCAGGTTACTCACCTAGCTGTCATACACCACTCCAGGTTACTCACCTAGCTGTCACACACCACACCAGGTTACTCACCTAGCTGTCATACACCACACCAGGTTACTCACCTAGCTGTCATACACCACACCAGGTTACTCACCTAGCTGTCATACACCACACCAGGTTACTCACCTAGCTGTCATACACCACACCAGGTTACTCACCTAGCTGTCACACACCAAACACCAGGTTACTCACCTAGCTGTCACACACCACACCAGGTTACTCACCTAGCTGTCATACACCACACCAGGTTACTCACCTAGCTGTCATACACCACACCAGGTTACTCACCTAGCTGTCACACACCACACCAGGTTACTCACCTAGCTGTCATACACCACACCAGGTTACTCACCTAGCTGTCATACACCACACCAGGTTACTCACCTAGCTGTCATACACCACACCAGGTTACTCACCTAGCTGTCATACACCACACCAGGTTACTCACCTAGCTGTCACACACCACACCAGGTTACTCACCTAGCTGTCACACACCACACCAGGTTACTCACCTAGCTGTCACACACCACACCAGGTTACTCACCTCGCTTCACTGGCTCCCCGCCCACTATGCGGTGTGGACGGAATATTTCCCGTGGCATCAAGGTCAAGTGGGCGGCCTTCACGCCCATCCACGCCCACACACACCATACCACCACCCATGTCAACATTCCTGTCAAACATTGAATAACAAAATCCATATCAAAATAAGAATAATTCTTTACACTATTTCAAAGTTTTATTATTTGTAATTAGTGGTAAATTTGATGGCTTACTCAGCGATAACGTGCACTCAGGTCACACCCTGAGTCCGGGGATCGATCCCCGGTACGGCTGGGAAACTTTAGGACGTGTTTCCTTAAGACACCTACTGTCCATGTTCACCTATCAGTAAAGTGGGTACCTGGGTGTTAGTGAACTGGTGTGGGTCGTATCCTGGGTGTTAGTGGACTGGTGTGGGTGGCATCCTGGGTGTTAGTGAACTGGTGTGGGTCGCATCCTGGGTGTTAGTGGACTGGTGTGGGTGGCATCCTGGGTGTTAGTGGGCTGGTGTGGGTCGCATCCTGGGTGTTAGTGGACTGGTGTGGGTCGCATCCTGGGTTTTAGTGGACTGGTGTGGGTGGCATCCTGGGTGTTAGTGGACTGGTGTGGGTCGCATCCTGGGTTTTAGTGGACTGGTGTGGGTGGCATCCTGGGTGTTAGTGAACTGGTGTGGGTCGCATCCTGGGTGTTAGTGGACTGGTGTGGGTGGCATCCTGGGTGTTAGTGAACTGGTGTGGGTCGCATCCTGGGTGTTAGTGGACTGGTGTGGGTCGCATCCTGGGTGTTAGTGGACTGGTGTGGGTCGCATCCTGGGTGTTAGTGAACTGGTGTGGGTCGCATCCTGGGTGTTAGTGAACTGGTGTGGGTCGCATCCTGACACTGCAACATCATGGAATCTTGGTTCGGAGGACATCTACAAGACCTTCTTCACGGCTGCTACAACTAACCCATCCCTTTGGGAAGGACCTACTTCCACTGGGGAATCCCGCCTACCAGTGACTATGTCCTCGTCTGCTACACCTCCCTATCCACTGACACCTATATAACCGCCAGTCTCCTTGCCTTTGCTCCTAACGATTTACCAGAACCACTTTACCCTACCACACTTACACTCTCCTATGCAGACGACATTACTCAACTCACACCATATGGAAACATTCGATTCCTTGCACGTAGAACACAAAGGTCGACAGGATTACTGCCTGGGAATTATTATGGCGCATTAAGACCAACCCTAATAAGTCAAAGATCACCTATTTTCATAGAAGGCGCTAGGTCCCGGCTCCTGTCGAACTCAAAACAAGCACCTCCCGTACTCCTATCCCACGCTCCCCCTCCACAGTTGTCCTTGGGGTTACTCTCGACACCAGCCTGACTCTTAAACCTCACATTACTGCCAAGACTGCAATAGCTGGGATTGCGCTCTTGAGCCTATATAAGCTGCGAGGAGCTAATCCTAAAACTAAACTACACCTCAATAAAGATCTCAATCGACATCTTCTCTCTTATTCTCCACTTGCTTTGACGTTAACTGCCAAAACAAACAACGCCTTAAAACTCCAAAGCATCCAGAATCTTGCATTACGTTGGGTGTTGGGAGTGAGGTGGGATGATTTCGCCACCAGCGAATCTCTCCACCTCACGACTAACACACCAACTATGAACGTGTACAGAAAGACAGTCAGTGTCAAACAACTTGACAGACTTGAGACATACCATGACTACTGGACTTCTTATTTAGGAGACTCTGTCAGGCATCCTTACAATGATGTAAATCTCTTCCTCACTCTGTATGACCCTGCATCTCCACCTCGCTACTTCCAAACTATATGTCTTACCAGCACTATTATTCCAACAATTCTATAACTGCCATTGTCATTGAGAGACGTTCTCTGTGCGTTTTATGCTGAATGGCTTGCGAATGTCGTTTGCGCCACTTTTCCATAGTACCAACGCCTTGTTGCGCGGCCAGTCTTGCTAATGATATGCTTCCGAGAGTGACACTGCTGCACTTGTTTCCCTTGATTAGCAGTTGGGTCTAGTCCTGACACTTTTCCTCTTTTCTTCGATATTTCTTCTCCCCCACCTATTCTTCATCCTGTCCCCACTTACCCCTCGCCCATAGTAGATCCTTACCTGTGAGTCCTCTGTTCTGTTCTGTTCTTTGCTCCAGAATCTTCACGACTACGGTGCTTTCAACACCAACTCCAAAGCTGAGGGACTAATTACGTCATCTTTTGTATATAGTTCTACTGTCTTCTAATTATGTCCTAGAATCTGTATTGATAAAGCCACTGGAGGGCGAAACGTCTACAATAAAGATGCCCAGAAAGTTGCACACGTGGGCTTAACTTTCAAAAGGTAATGTTCACCGTCTGAGGTGTTGATCCTGAGCAGCGTCGAGGTGTGAGCAGCAGGTGAGAACAAGAGAAATTTCGTTCGGATTTTTAAAAACCCCCGGGGGGTTAAACCCCCAGGATAACCCAAGAAAGGGCAGTGCGTCATCGAGGACTGTCTAACTTATTTCCATTGGGGTCCTTAATCTTGTCCCCCAGGATGCGACCCAAAACCAGTCGACTAACACCCAAAGGGCCTATTTGCTGCTAGGTGAACAGGACAATAGGTGTTTAAAGGAAACGTGTCGAAATGTTTCCACCCGCCGGAATCGAACCCGGGCCCTCCGTGTGTGAAGCGGGAGCTTTAGCCACCAGGCCACCGGTGATGCTCACCGCTGAGGTGTTGGTTCTGAGCAGTGTCGAAATACTGACTGAAGAATTACACCAAGCAGAGGCATCTGTGGCTGGTGTCACACCTGTGTTGTGAGTCTTTCACACCTGTCACATTTTTTTTTCCCCCTCCCTCACCCTTTTCTATTATACATTAAACCATGCCCACCCCAGTCACTACACCAACATCCACCCCAACACATTCCCCCCCAAAACATTCACCCTCAAAAGAAACCTCCAATTACATCAGATAAGGCAAAGGTTCATAAAGATTTAAAATAGTTTTCACGGCAGTGAGTGGATGCAAATATTCAAATTTGTGATTTGAGGTGAACACTTGTGCTAATCTAAACTGACCTAAACCCCTGTACAAGCTTAGCTTCCTCCCCCCCCCCAACACACCACACGACATAACACACACAACACCCACACACACCCATCCCCACACACAACACACACACACACCACACACACCAACACACACACACACCACACACACGAAGAAGATCAAATACAGCCTCCCCACAATTTCCAAGAAGCCCCCACCGGGTCAACCCCAGTGCAACCAAACACTCTAAATCAAAAACCCATGCCACATCCAATGCCCCCCCCCCCTCTTCCCAACTCCACCCCACAGCAAAACCCTAGTTTTTTCCAGGTCTCCCACTTCCCCAACCCCAAATATACCTCCCAACCCAGTCTTAGAAAAAAGTTGAAGGTGTGGTATACAAATGCGGGGGAATAAAAAACAAGTTGGGGAGTGGCACGAAAGAATAAAAGAACACCCCCAGAAAAATAATAGCACTCACAAACAAACTCCCCAGAATAATAACAGATTCAATCTTTCCACCGGATATCAAATCCTCAGGAAGACAAGGGGGGAAGGGGGAGGAGGAGTTGCACTGCCATTAAAAACCGGGGATTTTTTGGAAAAGGAAAGGGAAGGGAGGGCCCGGGGGCGAAAGGAACTTAGTAGAACAACCCAGTCTGGGGACAAAGGTGATAATTGAGAAATTGTACAACCCACCACAAAAAGCGGGGGCCAAAAAAGAATACGAGAGACAAAGAGCAATATCGACACACTAGGGGGTGGCCAGGAACACACATGGGGGGAGCAAATTTACTAGTTATGGGTGATTTAAATCACAAGGGATTGAGGAAATGGTAGGTGATCCCGAAAAGTGTGGAAAAAGACACTTAGTAATTCAGGAATTTTTTAAAAGGAAAGTTTCGCCACGATGGCTTCTTCTCCTAATACAGAGAAAACTAAGAAAACACACAATATTAGGGGGCGGGAGTCGGTGAGGGTGACGCGGGGGGTAGAGGTGGTATGGTTTAGTAGTAGTAGAGTAGTAGTAGTAGTATAGTAGTAGTTATGTATAATATTTTAAAGGGAACTAAGGAGGTGGGGCAAGGAGGGACCTGCTGGCATAAAGTAACCCCCAGTTCCCAGGATGGGTAATACCTCTTGCTTGTAATTTTGAAATACTGTAACTCCGATTTTTGCTTTATAGTGTTACGACAAAAATTAGTGCAGCTTCAATGCTTTTTTCCTCCTCTTAAGTCCTTTTTAAATAATATTTAGCTTCATTGAATTTCATGAGGTGCCCCAACACGTCTCTTTTTGAACAATGTTTTTTTTGCGGTCATCATTTCTGCAAGCAAACACAAAAATCTTGCAAAAATGATGACCGCAAAAACGATTTTTCAAAAAAGAACGATGTTGGACCCCCTCATAAATTCAATGAAGCTAAACTAGTTTTTTAAAAGAAGACCCCCATGTGGGAAAATTTTTGGGAATCAAAAATTCCGAGGCGTTGTAGCCCCTTAAAAAAGCAAAAATTTAAATAACAAATTTCAGCAGGGTTTTTTTAAAAAGGGGGCGTTCCCTGCCTTACGAATTTGTTAACTTTTTTTCACTAAGGTATTTGAGTAGGTAGATCATGGAATAAATATGAAATTGTGACATGGCTTCAGTAAGGCTTTACAGGGTCCCAATAGGATTTTGAGGAAAATTAAGGCACGGAAATAGGAGAAATTTTTTCCTGGAAGGGGCATGGTTGAAAATAGACAGCAGGGGTTTTTGCAAAGGGGGAGAAAAACAAGGGGGGAACGTCACGAGCGGTTTTTCCGCAGGGGTCAGTGTTGGGCCCGCTGTTCACAATCTACATAAAGGCAAGATGAGGGCAAAAAGCGACATCGCAAGTTTCCCGGAAAACCAAAATAGGCCTCGAATTCATTCTGACGAGGACATTAGAGACTCCAGAAGTTTTAATAGACATGCGGGGTCGGAGAAGGGGGCGTGCAGTTTATATAACAAATGCAAATTTCAAAATTTGGACATAAAAAATAACCCATGCCCTTTTAAAAACTAAATAATGTCGAAAAAGTTTTAGGGTTCGGG